ACCAATGGCTAGATAGACGTGTTCCTTGAATGTTCACTTTGTGGCTGAAGAGAAAGTTCTAGAGGCACCTTCATGGCTAGGGAACCTTAAGGGTACATCTGAGTAGTAAGGGTGGAAGAAAAGCTGGGAAGTTTCTGGAAGCCAAAAATCTAGATTCAGTTAAAGCTGAAAAGCTCAGTGGTCACAGTGGCTTGGTAGCCAGGGAGCAGGGTGCTAAGGGCGGGGGTAAGAGGTGGGGAGCGGGCAGGAGCTCAGTGAAGCTCTCCTGGTTTAGTAGTTGGAAGAGGGAGCTGGGCAGGGTTGTCTGGCCTTTGGGAATGGGAGCAGGATGGGAGCAGGTGAGTAGAGGCAGGGCAGCAGAACTGAGACAGGAGGGAAACCTGTCAATCAGAAGGAAGGCCAGGAGATAGGTGAATAAACGTGTTTCTAGGTGGAGGCAAGACAGTTTTAGTCTGAAGTGTTTTTTCCCTTAGGGATAGAGGAGAAAAGGGTGGCAGGAGCATTGCTAAGAGAGAAGGGGAGACCAGACACCCAAGTTGCAACAGCCAGTGCGGAGAGCGGAGAGAGATCTCATCATTAAACAAAAGGAAACAATTAATTATGGAGATAACTGGAAAAATGGACTCTCCACTCACAGCATCCAACACTTTAATTATGTAGCGAAGGAATTTGTGGTCCCCATCTGGGAACTGTTGAGTGGATGATTCCAGCATCTAGCAGGGACATGGATATGCTGTTTGACGTGTGGCTGCAGAGGAGAAAGGTCCACAAGGAACTGACAGTTCCCAAAGTAGGACACTCTCTGGGTCGCACACCTGGAGAGGAGCAGACACAGTCAGTTCTGTTTGCACGGGGGAATTTCCAGAGTTTGTCTCTTTGTTCTGGGTCAGAGTGGCTTCCTAAGACCTTTGGGAGACTTATACACTTGGGCCAGATAATCTACTCGTAACCAACAGATAGCTCTAGTTTCTTCATTATCGTGAACGTGTGCAAGCTCTGGGTTAGCTTCATTGACCTCATCAGTAAGACACGTCCTCCATCAGTATCACCATACCTGCTTCCAACTAAGAACAGTCACTAGTATTCATCCCACCCACTTTGAACCGAGCGTGGCTAGATCTCAGTGTTCTAAATGACAGAATGTGGACTTTCCTGAGTTGTTACAATTTCAGATTACTGGGCAAATCTGAGAAGGTTGACCCCATTTCTTTTCTCTTTTCACCTTTGGATATCTTTGTATTGTTTTGTCTGCCCTTCCTTCGTTCTCCATACCCTCTTGCCCTAATCAGCATGTGAGTTATGAGACACGTGTTTCACCCCGGTGCTGGGTCGGAGCAACACAATGTGTTCTATTTTTATCTTTCTACTTCCAGTAACAAATAAGCTGCAAGGACAGCCCTTTCTGAGTGTCCTGGGCATTCCTCCTGTCTGCGCCTCTCCCCAGCAGCTGGCTGCTCAGTGTGGTCTTTAGGGAAACAGGCAGCATGGGCAGGAAGAAGACCATGGAGTCAACCCTTCCTCCCCCGATCCTGCCCTCTCTTCCTCCATGATGACGTGAGTTGTGTAGGTGCTTGGTAGAGAGGCATGAATGAGGTTCTAGGCATTCAACAATGGAGGCACGGTTTTCTCTTGAGGGTCTGCCTTCTGTGTCCCCAGGCAAGTTCAGCTCTACATTTTCATGGTGAAATAGGAGGAAACCGAGTCAGATGGTTTCTGGGGAACCTTTTGTTTTCATGGCTATGACAGTTAAGTAGTGTTTTAATGAGTTGTCCATTCTGGACAACTGCTCTTTACACAGCAGCATTTATATGGACTTTCCTGTTAACCAGTTGTGTTACAAAAATGTGAAGGTACTTAAATATGAAGACACATTTTGGAGTATAATAGGAGATACTGTACATTCATTAAGAATGTTCCTTCCAAAAGTGTTTCATGGCCAGGAAACATATGCACACTGACATCAGCAGCAGGAACAGATGCATGCAGGAAGAGGTACAACCCTGGATGGTAGGGAATTTGCCAGCAACCAAGTTTTTATAGTGGTATTCTTGACTGTGGGATGATTACACATGTTTAATTTTGTGGGAATTGAACCCAGAGCCTCAAACATGCTAAGTACATACTAAGTACATATCCTACCACTAAACTATAACCTCAGTCCACAAATATTTACATTTTTCTATTTTGTTACTTTCATTTTCCAAAATAACACCATAGGGCCAGAAAGATGACTCAGAGGGCAAACATGCTTGCTGTCCTGAGTGTGACCCCTGGGCCCCACAGTGGAAACAGAAAACTGACTTCCAAAAGTTGCTCTTTGACTTCTATGTATGTTCTGTGTCATGTTCCAACACACACACACACACACACACACACACACACACACACACACACCGCGATCATGTTTTTCTATAATTAAAAAGGAAAGTTATTTTAAAGTATATAAAAGTGATTGTTACTATAATAATTTTATTTACATTTTAAAAGATCCCCTGTAAGTCTGTAAGAATTTTGACAGACACTGTCTATATGTATAGAATCTATAAGCCACATTTTAGAACACTTTTTTGGGGGGGGGATTGAGACAGGGTTTCTCTGTGTAGCTTTTTTGGAGTCTGTCCTGGAACTTGCTCTGTAAATGAGGTTGGCCTCAAACTCACAGAGATCCCCCTGCCTCTGCTTCCCAAGTGCTTGTATTAAAGGCATGTGCCACTACCTCCCAGCATTAAAACATCCTTATTTATTTATTATGTATACTGTGTTCTGTCTGCATATATACCTGCAGGCCAAAGGAGGGAACCAGATCTTATTATAGATGGTTGTGAAGCCTCCATGTTGTTGCTGGGAATTGAACTCAGGATCTCTGTAAGAGCAACCAGTGCTCTTAACCTCTGAGCCATCTCTCCAGCCATTTTTAGAACTTTGAATTCATTAAATTTTCTGTTTTCAAATGTAATGAAAATAGAATTCTGTAAAGAAATTTTGTGTGCCAAAGCTCAGAGTGAATAATGTCAAAATTGTAATTTGCCTTGAGTTTTGCAAATCTGCCTATAACATGGATCCCCTCACCCCAGATTTATAAGCCTGTCAGATTCTAGTATCTTTCTAAAGAATGACAATCTTAAAATATATGACAAAATCTCCTGAGCCCCAAGTAGAGGGAAGGAAAGGCAGGTCCCTGAGAGTCATTCCCCAAGAAGGCTCTGCAAATGACATTCACTTGGAATAGGTGCTATGATGTGTTTGCTGAAGCATGACTCAGGATATCAGATCACAAACCAAGGGAGGCAGCAAATGCCAAATGGTGTAAGTAAACAGCCTACAGGGGAAGGTACTCCCTCTGGAGGTGTAACAGGACAGTTACTTGGTAGTATGGAGGCCCATTCGTTCCCCAGCGTGGAGGGGAGGGACGAAAACAGTGATCAGAGTTGAGGGAGCCTCTAGAACAGCCATCAAGAAAGGTTTCCCTCCTTTTCCTTATCTCCAAACGGCCATTGTGTAGTTTGGCATTCAGAGAATTAAAGCAAATTGCACTGAGGCCTCTTGAAGCTGTAGACAACACGTCCCATGTGTCAGCCGCAGCCAGGGAGATAGGTGAAAACCTACTGTTAGCCCCTGGAACTCATAAGGGAAGATTTCATATACGGTCATGCTGTTCAAAGTGTTTTCCTTTGACCAATAGCACCCAGAAGCTTGGGCAAAGTACAGTCTGGGGGCTCCCTAGACTACTGGGGGGAAATCTGCATTTTAAAAGATTCCCTGGAAATCTGTATAAAGTTTGACAGACAATCTCTACTGGTGTAGAATCTGCAAGCTACATACACTTTTAGGACTTTGAATTCATTCAATTTTCTGTTTTCAACTATAATGACAATAAAATTCTTTAATGTGGCAAAAAGATTAATTCTCCATCTAAGCTCTGTGTCTTTCCCCCAGGTAAGATAACCAGAAGGAATTTGACACTTAAAATTTTCTTTTTAAACCCGGTTTCTGTCAGGCAGTGGGTGGCACAGACCTTTAATCCCAGCACTCAGAAGGTAGAGGCCAGCATAGTCCACAGAGCAAGTGTCAGGGCTACACGAGAAACTCTGTCTCAAAACACAAAAACAAAAACAAAAAAACCCCAAACCCAACCAACCAACCAACCAACCAAACAAACAAACACCTAATAAAAGCCTAGTTTATAGAAAAGTCAGCATTTTCTTAGCTATCCCAATTTCCTAAATTGTTCGTAGTCTTTTATAACTCAAGTCAAATTTTATTTTCATGAAGAGATATATTTATCTCAGGCTTATAAAATTTTTGCTTTCTGCCATTTCTATGTTCTAGAGGGAAATGCTTCCTTGTTCCTGGAAATAATTTTAACTAGGCTTCTTGTTACTGATGAAGGTGGTGTTTTGGTGTCTGCATTGAAAATGTGCCGGCAACCTGCTGAATGTTTGAAAACTCACACCGAGAAATGAGCTGCCTGGGCACCGGAAGAATTCAAGTGGTATTGACTCAGCGTCCCAAGAGGCTACGCCTCCCTAAACTGTGAATGACCAGATTGCAGTCCAGCGCATGGCATCACAAACTTACAGCATCCGGCAAACACACGCATCAATTTAGCATTGGCCTCCAAGGGCCACAGGTCTGGGAGAAAGCTTACAGATAGATTATACATTCCTTCAACTATTTTTTTATTACTAAAGAATGTTTTAAATGTCTTCTAAAGCCGGGCGTTGGTGGCGCACGCCTTTAATTCCAGCACTCAGGAGGCAGAGGCAGGCAGATCTCTGTGAGTTCGAGGACAGCCTGCTCTACAGAGCCAGTTCCAGGACAGCCTCCAAAACAATACAGAGAAACCCTGTCTCGAAAAACCAATAAGTAAGTAAATAAGTAAGTAAGTAAGTAAGTAAATAAATAAACAAACAAATGCCTTCTAAACATTTGGACTCAGTGAGAGGAAGGGATGAAGGGCTCCAATGCTAGAACTAAACTATAGAAAAGTTCACTCTCACCTGATTGTCGAACTCGTTGGAGAGTTTGCTGGACCAGAACCTCTGATCGTGGGACGATGATGATGAAGTCCACTTTGCTAAAGTGGCCAAGGTCCAGGCTCTGGCTGCCACTGTCCGCGATTGCACACACCTGGGACAAGAGTCTTCTGGCAACTGTGAGCTGTGGTTGATAAATTTGGAAGGTTTCGTTATCTACATCTAAAATTAAAAAAAGTTATAAGAACAATATTAATTCAGTTCTTTGACAGGCATTATGAATCCATACGGAGACATAAAACACAAGGGAAAAGCAATGTCTCATGATCAAGAATTCTCACTTGCTATTCTCATTTAATATGGAGTTTTATGGATTTGCCTATTTCCACCCTAAAACCTGATTGAGAAGATATACTAGAGAATTGGATATGGCAGTTTTACAAGTGCATTACTTAAAAACTGGTGGATTATCTTACAATTCTTTTCCTAATAGTGGAGACAGATCATACCGTCACAGCTGGACTAGGACTCAGCTGCAGAAAGGCAATATTCAGTTCTCTAAGACTCTCAGCACTGCCGAGTGCTCAAGCCCAGGCCCTGTCTAGGGAGGGAGGCAATGCTGTAGCTCTAATACTGTGGGATTCCTTTAAGTTTCTCTGGGTGGTACCAAAGTAACCATTTCTTCTTCAGCAAGTCAGCTGCAACACTGAAATCTCCCCTCTCTGACTAGACAACATGGACCAGAGACACATCCTTCACCTTTCTTCCTATTTGGCTTGGCTTTGCCAGCACTTGTGACCTGGCAGGCCTAGGAGGTGAAGTCACGGCCAGTGCTGACGCCAGGACTATCCAGAGACAGGCCTTGTGACACAGCCAGCTGGCCTCTCAATGGGTGATGTGCCGCACTTTCCAGATACTCTATGAATGTCAGTATTACTACAAGTTCTTACCAAGACATCAGCCCTCCCCACAGACAATACAAGGTCCAAGAGTAAATGAGCAAACTGCCAGGGCGGGCAACTGCCACGCCTTCTTGGAAGGGTTGCTTTGTATCAGGGACACGGGCTGGCAGTTTGAAACAAACCACAAGGCCCTAATTAACCAGTGCTAATTAAAGTTGTATAAAGCCAACTGAGGTGTAGCTGAGGTAGCCAGTACTCATAATACCCTAGCTCCACTGGACACTGACTGAGGTGGAGCCTGATACAGAGGTATCCTTGTCGACAGAGCTTAATGCTGTAAGTCTCAACAGTAGAGCTGGGTGAACAGCTCAGAGGTAGGGGCACACCTCCAGGTATGTGGGGCCTTGAGTTTGATTCCCAGCACCAGGAAAGAAAAGGCAATACTAGCACCAATAGTTTTTAAATTATGCATATGAGTATTTTGTCTGCATGTCTGTCTGTGTACTATGTGTATACCCAGTGCCCAAAGAGGCCAGAAGAGCACACTGGACCTCCTGGAACTGGTGCTATAGATGTCTGTCAGTGGACATGTGGATGCTGGGAACTGAACTGGGTCCTCTGGAAGAGCATTCAGTGCTTTTAACCACTGGGCCATCTATCTAGCGTGCATGAATATATACATATGTTTACCCACAAAGACTTCCAATGAAGGGGCTGAAGAGATGACTCAGTGGTTAAGAGCAAACATTGTCCTTGCAAAGAACCAGAGTTTGGTTTCCAGCACCCATGTCTCACAACCTTGGGTGATCTAATACCCTCTTCTGATCCCTGTGGACGCCTGAACACGCCTGGTTTACATTCACACAAACACATACATACACATAAGTAGAACTGAAAAAAAGTACTAATGAAACACACCTGTCTTCCAACATAAATAGGTTACTTGTTCCTTAGTTCACAGGCTGGCCGGCTGACTGGCTGGCTGGGAACCAAATGTATATAGAGATTTGTATGTATAATTTAAGTCAGCAAACTCTGAAGTTTGATGAAATACAAGACAACATTTATCCAAGGACCATTTCTTTATAAAAATTATTTTAAGTTTTAGTGTGCGTGCATGTGTTTGTAGGTGTGCATGTGTCCATATGCCATAACATACATGCAGAAATTGTAGGGTGCCTGCAGGACTTGGTTTCCTCATTCTACCATGTAAGCCCTGGGTTTTGAACTCAGGTCATCAGGCTTGGTGATAATTACCTGTACCTATGGAGCCATCTTTCTGGCTTCAAACAATTCTTTTTAATTGATTAACTAATTTTGAGACAGGGTCTCACTATGTAGCCCTGGCTGACCTAGAACTCAATATGCAGACCAGAGTGGCCTTGAACTCACAGAGGTCCACCCATCTCTGCCTCCCGAGTGCTGGGATTAAAGGCATGTACCATCATGCCTGGCTGACATTTCTTTTTAAAATAAAAAAATTTTAAAATGTGTATAGTGTTTTGGTTGCATGTACGTGCCTGGTTCCCTCAGAGGCCAGAGGAGTGTTGGATCCCCTGGGAGTGGAGTTACAGATCGTTATGAGCTGTCGTGCGGGTGCTGGAATGAAACCTTGGTCCTCTGCAAGGCAGTCAGTGCTCTCAACTGCTTGGCCATTTCTCTAGTCACTTAGCGCAACATTTCTTAAACAGTGAACCAAGGCTGTACTTGGAGATTTATATGCATTCTGGGAATTAAGAATAATTAGTTTATTATTATTACATATGCACGCATAATATATATGGCGTGCGGGAGTATATGTGTGGAGGTCAAAGGAGTTGGTTCTCTTCTTCCACTTTTACATGGGTTCTGGGACTCTAAATCAGGCCACTTGCCTGGGCTACAAGCAACCTGTACCTGCGGAGCAAATTCTAAACTTATTAACAATTCAAAACAGTTACTATAAATCCACTTTAGATTTGCTGAATGATTGCTGTATTACAAAATACTGCTCAGAAGCCAAGATACTTGGTGGCCCATATTCATATTTGCTTTTACAGGAAGGTGAAGCCAAGGCCTGCTTCGACCTTCGTTGCCTGAGTGATCCTCTATATAAGTGATGCATTCCTAGGCAGAGGAGGCCAGATGGCCATCATTAGCAGCTTATGGGGCAGGGGGTAATGTTTCCTTTCTGTTTGTTTTCCTATTCTGTCTTATGATATCCCTATAATGAGTGAACTGGGGAAGGAATCTTTAATACCAAGGCACACAATCTAATAATCTGTTTCCTCCTCCCCGGCCAGCCACTGCCTACCACTGGGGCCCCTGACTCCTGCAGCACAGATGATATGAGGTGACATTGTTCTGTCTGCCTGGAAGGGACAAGTCAGGGACTCAGGGAAAAGTGAGTCAGTTCTGCATAACCTGCAGCCTACATGTTTCATGAAGCTATTTGAGGCCCCCAGCAAGCATGACAATTCTCTGGGTAAGAACAGGAAAAAACTCTGAGGATCCAGCCAAGTGTACAGACACATGCCTGTAATCCCAGAGTTTTGGAGATAGACGTTAGAAGGTTAAGACTAGACTCAGCTACATAATGAGTTCTAGGCTAGCCTTGTCTACAGAGTGAGTTCCAGGACAGCCAGGACTACATGGAGAAACCTTGTCTTGAAAACCCAAAAGAAATAAAGCCAGAAAAGACACACACACACATAAAAAATAAATTAATTAAAATTAAAAAAGAGGAACTCCCTGAGGCAAGAAGATACCAAATTTAATGCCAGACAGTGCAGATGAACAGGAACCTGTCAGGAAAAAGACTCCAAGGAGAAGACCACACAGCAAAGTCTGGACTCAGTTTACCACCCAGGACAATGAAAACCCTTTTGTAACCTATGGTTTGGGGACTCCTCAAAACCCTGAGTTGTTTTGTGCTTTGTTTTAGCTTCTACAGTATCTGTCCCAAGGACTGATTCCTTCCTTCAGCCTCAGGCCACATTACCCAGGTTTTGTGTGGGGATCATAGCAGCAGCCTCCTGAGGTGACACACACTCATTAAGGTCACCGTTAAAAGGGGTGACCACACTGTCTCCTCTTCTTTGTTGTATTTTTTCTAGCAGCTTGTCCAGGTCGTCACCTATGTCAAAATACAGTGGATTTAAGAAGGTTATAATAAGCAATGTGCCTGAGTGATTCTTATCAGTATCAGATGAGACAGGTGGGCTGGGTTCTCATCCAGATTTGTAAGCTGGCCTGCAATTATGTCAGAATTCCTACCTGGCCATCTCTCTGGCCATCTGTAGTAAGAGCTATTCTCAGTGGCATCCACCCTGTGGGTACATGCTTACAAACAGCATACTTTCAGCACGGCTCTCTTTTGGCTTGAATCATGTACAAAAACAGGCAGAATGGACCGGCTTTGTTTCTATCTGACATATGAGAAATCTCAGGTCCAGGGAGAGACAGAGAAAACAGCCTGAGGTCACGTAGTCACAGCTGAGCTGAGGCTGTACTCCCTGTCCTTCCTCTGGACCTCACATGGCTTCCTGTGGTGTTAGTCACCATGAGTAAGGATAAGCCACTCCAAAGGAGAGCTCAGCCAGCAAGCTTAAGCCCCACCTTCATCCCCGACAGGCTAAGAATTAAATTCAGACAATCACGCAACGAGGGCTGGCAGGGTGGCCCATCTTAAAACCACTTACCTAATGAGGTGGTTTTGAAATGCGATGCCAGGAAACTGACCTTTCCTGTGATGAGCTCATAACTAATTTCTTTCAAAAACTCACTTGTGGTAAGCATGCTTTCTGCCAGAGCCCGGGACTGACGCTGCCCTGAAGGACAAGAGAGTAGGGTGATGACCCATGGCTGGAGCGCATGCTTGCTGCAACATTAGCTGATAAACACAGAAATGACAGAAGCCTATAACTACAGGGACTTGATTAAGAAGGCCATGGAATGTCGAAAGATCTATTGGAAACATCAATTTGAAGATTGTAATTGAAAAAAATGTATACATGCATATATGTAAAGGCCAGAGAAGTCCATGGAAAACACAACAGTGTGTTTACATGGTTGTTGTGTGTAGTTATCTTAAAAACAAACTTTTTTTTTTTTGGTTTTTACAAGACAGGGTTTCTCTGTATTGTTTCGGAGGCTGTCAGTCCAGCCCGGCCTCGAACTCACAGAGATCCGCCTGCCTCTGCCTCCCGAGTGCTGGGATTAAAGGCGTGCGTCACCACCGCCCAGCTTTAAAAACTTATGCGGAACTATTTTTAGAATTAAACATACGAATGATCACACAGCCAGGAAACACAGAAGCATGCATGGGTGGAGAGTTTGGTCAGGGCATGTTTGTGAGTGTGGATGGGATTTGATCTTTTTGTTAGAAAGTAGTGGGAACCATCCAGTGAAGACAGGAGAAATGACAGTCCGAGTGCTGATGGTTCTGAGAGATGGCACCTGGCAGAGTCAGCACAGAGCACATTTTGTCATTTCTCTATTTTCTTATGGGCTGTTGTAGAGTAGGCTCTTCAGTGTGGAGAGTTCTTGGCAAATGGGACTGGCTGGCACAGGCACTTGCAAAGCCTTTACAATTTAGTGTGTGTGTGTGTGTGTGTGTGTGTGTGTGAGAGAGAGAGAGAGAGAGAGAGAGAGAGAGAGAGAGAGAGAGAGATGTGCCACAAATGCATTGTAGGATCCTGAAAATCAGAATAGGGTGTTGGATCCCACAGAACTGGAGTTACAGACAGCTGTGCGCTGTCATGTGGGTGCTGGGAATTAAACCCAGGTCCTCTCTGCAAGAGCAGCCAGTGCTTTTAACTTTGGAGCCATCTGTCCAGCCCCAACACTCGCAAAACCTTTGAAGGACAGAAGTTACATGAGATGAGGGAAACTGTTTCAAGAGTTAGCTTTAAAAGAATGTTTGCAGAACCAGGTGCCCACACTGAGGCTTTAACAATTCATCTGAGAAAGACAGGGAAATTAAAATTGGGAGGAGAAACCCAAGCCACAGCCATTAGCCAGAGACTAATCAGGTGGATGCTGGAAACACCCAGTGGCTACTTTTCAAATGCACACAACAGAACGAATGCATTTAACAAGCGACAAGACTGAGTCCCAACCGTACTTACCTAATACCACCACACAAAATTCATTCCCTCTGATTTTCGATGCACAGATTGCTACAACATAATCCGGCAGCCTCTGATAGTGTTTGATTTCACTGAGGAGCCTCAGTGTCTCTGAAATGCCCTCTGCCAGAGAGTTTTGGGTCACAATGACATGAACCGTGTCTTGAGACACGCTGGCAGCTAACCTAGCGAGCCAGGGGAGCTGTCCCGGTGACACGGGTGCACACGGAGCACCCATCTGCAGGACCCGTTCTCTCACAGTGAATTCTTGCATAGCTTTCAGTATGATTTGCTCAAATTCTTCCCTGAGAGGTATCTGGTCATGACCTATATCAAGGAGAATTACAACCAGAATTTAGATGATCAGAGAAGAGAGAAAACACACAGCACCTAGCATCCAAAATCTCCTCTAACCCACCACACTCCAATCAGCAAGTTTGTGCCTTTATCTCACAGTGGTCCCAAGTCACAGCTCCTGCCAACCACCTACAAATGGGAAATTCCCTCTTCACCTGTCTCTGGCCTCAATTTCTAAACCTCAGGCTCTGTTCTCCTATATTTTTATGGATGCTCTCTTTCAAGGAAGATATGATAAGGGGCAAGACCAATTCTGTTGCATGTCCTGGGAGGTGATCACTTCCCAACCTCACCATGAGATTCTGCTAATGACTAAGAAAATGAGCCAACACACTGGTGTATAATCAATTTTCGTTTTATGCAGATACTTTAAAAATCCTTTAATGTGCTGTCCTCACCTAATTTTGACATTCTCCACAGGACAATTAAGTATTTTTCCCAATCTCCATGTTACGCAGCCTCCAACTTTCCCCTGTCCTCTAGATTGCTGAATATGACATCTGGCCTCTTTCTCCTGACATAATTGAGCTAAGCTTACACTGATGACCTGTGACCCTGGAATTAGAGGGTTTTGTTTCTTATTGTCATTAGAAACTTAACCAGTCTTCAGAACAAAATCAGCCAGCATCCAAGTGGTGCAAAGTAACTAATATTTCTACCCTTATTTTAAATTAAAACCTAGGGGACTTGTTGACTTGTTCTGCCGGTTTTTCCCTGCGTGAATCTGAGACTTGAGACTCAAGGGCTCCTGTCAGCTGGAACAGACCTTTCAGTATCTCTGATCTGAGGCTCAGTCCTGGCTTTAACCCCAGGCTACAGCACAGAGGTAAGGGTAGGGGACCTCTGTCTGGAAGGCAACTCCAAGAGTCAGAAACTATCCTCCCTCTGATGGCAGTAAGAAAATCGGGGCTTTAATTATTATTTTTTAAAAGACAGGTGGGATAATACAATATATATCATTAAAGATAGAACACATTCCAACAAATAAGTAAATTATATTGGAGAAGCAAGGGCTGGTTGAGGGCTAGGGAGAATGGAACCTCATAGACAGGTGCTTGTTTTCTGTACACAGAAACAAGAAAGCCCTGTTGCTTACATTAAGTTTGTTTCTGGAGCTAGAGGGATTATAGCCTGGCACTTTCTATAACCTGGCAGATGTGTGAGGCTCTGGGTTGGATCCCCAGGACTCTACCCACCCAGCCTAAAACATGGGTTTCTCATATCCTTGCCACCCCTATCCCTTGCTAGGTAGTAGTGAGTGGTTGGATTTGCTTTTAAATCAGTTGGGAGTCACTCGACCTCTGATCCTCACTCAGCTTCAAAAAATTAGCATCATGGTTTGTATTCCCCATTCATGCTGTGTAGCGAGTGCAAACTAGCTTAATTCGTACAATGAAATGAAGGTAAAGTGGTCGTTTCTTTTATAACTTTCTTCTGCTGGAGCACATGATAAAGGAAATGCAGGAGGCCCTGTCTCCATTTCCCAGTGTCTTTCACTGAAAACCTGAAATGTTCAGTGGCCCAGTTCATAGTTGTGAGAGACCCAGGACAGACCAGGAGCCAGCAACACGTTCTCTTGGACACGCAATGAATCCATGCAAAGGCATTTGGGAAAATAAAGTGGTATAGCATGTTCCCAGAATTCTTTGTAATCTTAAAATTTTGATTGAATCACTGTTAAAAGCAAAGGGGGGGGGTATCAGTGAGGAGGCCTAGGGAATCTATTGAGCCTTGGGCAGCAGATCAGTACCCATCCCAAGTATACACACGGACTTTGGACTCCCATAGAACATTGTGAGGTGCACTCTCACCCTGAACTCTTGGGGAAGGGTTTAGGCCCTGCCCTATATGAAATGACAGACTATGCACACCCCCATGGAGGGCCTCACCCTCCCTGGGGAAATGAGGGGATAATGGGGGGGGGTTGGGGGGAGGGCACGGGAGGAGGGGAGGGAATGGGAGAGGGACCTGGAGCTGACTTGTGAAGCAACCTCATTTCTTATCTAAATTTAAACTGGAAAATAAAATTAAAAAAAAAAAGCAAAGTGGGGGGGTGCGTGCACTCAGGTTAGAACCACACACGATTCCCATTCCACTACCACTCCCAGTCCTGACTGGATTCTAGGATTCTTTTCCCCACTTCTCCCCAGCTCTGTGACGGTAATTTTCCCTCTGAGAGCTATCTCCTGGGACATCAGCTCTGATGGCTTTCCAGATGGAGCCACCACAATAGGAAGGAACATGTTTCCAGCAGGCCTGGAGCCCACCTGGATTCGATGGTTCCATTATCTACTTCAAAAGGTTTGCAGCTTGTGAAGTAACAGAAAAACGTTGTAAGGGACTGCCATAGAAAGGCCCTTTCTTTCTGAAGAATATTGCTTTTCTTTTTCCCTGTCAGTGCTCAGAGAAAGAAGTATTAAAGTTGTCATTTTAGAAGTTTGTATGACTTTTTAAAATGTCTATAATCTATGCCTATGTCAAAATATTCTTGTTGCTTCTCAAACCTAGAGGGACAGAACAATTTTTTTTCATGCATACCAGAACAGCTTATTGGGAGACAGAGAAGTCCAAATTCACAAATCTAGGTGAAAAAAAGGAAGGAAGGAAGGAAGGAAAGAAGGAAAAAAGGAAGTAGGGAGGGAGGGTAGGAGGGAGGGAGAGAGGGAGGGAGGGGAGGCAGGAATGGGTGAGCTATTTATACTATATACCAACAGACCTAACGACTGGAAGTAAAATTCTGCAGATAATTGACCCTGAAGAGCAAAATAGGAGTTTAATTAAATCAGAAATCTCTAAGTTAAGAGGTTTTTAATAACTTGAAAGAAGATTTTTTTTTCATTTAATTAAGTAGGACCCTGGTTTTCTTGGAAGGTTATTAGCATTGAAAAGAAAAGACAGACGGACTGGCCTGCTTGCCTTCCTGAGAGCACACCCTGACACTGTTTGCACTGCTTTCGGGAGCATCTGGGTGTGTTTCCAGGCCTAGAAGACAGTCCACAGTCCAAAGTGTGGAGATTTAAGTTTACGAGGTGATTTTATAACAAGTACAGTTTAAGTTACAGATTTATTATGAAAGTGGGTTCCACTGAAAAATGTGGCTTAAAAAAAACCCTGTTAGGGCAGAGCTCACATAGGGTGGAGCCCATATCAAGGAGTCTCCTAGGAAATTAAATGTCCTTGCTAGTGTTGCTACACTGGAAGGCTGTCTGGTTTGCTGAAACTTTTGCTTAAAAAAAAAATCGTATCTCAGTATTTTTGTGGTTTCTTAACACCATAGAACTTTGTAACATAAAAAAAAACCCTCATGAGCACAAACAAAAAAAAGTATATGAAAATTTGCACCTCAAACATTTTCCCAAACAAATCAATGGTGTGAATCCCAGAGAGAATGTGTAATTAGGCTGTATATTTGATGACTCACTGCAGTTTGCAAAATAAAGGACATTTCAATGTAAATGTTGCTGAGCCACCACACTGTTGTCAGGACACCTGCCAGTACTCACTGTAGGTTCAGAGGAAGTGAAGGGTTCATGACCTTTGTGTCCCTCTTTCCCTAAGGCCTTCCTTCCCACATGGGCTAGGGCATCATGAACCTGTGCACTAGAGGGAGCAATCTGCCTCTTTTATGACAAGCGTGGCGGAAAGGGAAAAAGCAAAGCTGTGGAGAGGAAGGCAAAAAGTCTGAAGACTGGGTAGAAGGAGAAACTTAGAAAGAACATATGAGCCGGGCAGGCAGAAGAATAGAACGAGTACACAGCACACTCAAATAATTAAAAAATATAAATTAAAAGGCTCCTAGCCCTCTGGAGAGCAACTTACCTAACCGCACAAGATACTGTATAGTCAGAAGGATCATATTTTCCACACTCAGGGGTTGGGTGCTAGTCAACCCTAATTGCTCCAGATCTTTGTTTTCCAACTGTGGAATCTTGTAGCAATTCACCAGCAGAGGACTCACAACAATGTCACCAACATTTCCATAGAAATAGGGTAAAGTTCCGTAGCCTGCCCCCAAAGAAACAAGTCAGTAAGCACTTCTGAATTCCAGTCAGGCACACCACCTCAGCGACATGCTCAGAAACCCTGTGCCCTGTTAGACAGCCACCGTCAGGAATTCACCTGCATGTTACATGTTCTACAGAAGCTGAGGGGGGCCACTCCAGTTATATCACGTTTCCCACAGGAGGGCTTCTGTGAACACTATAGTTGTGTCACAGAGGATCGATGCGGTGATAAATAGTTCCTGATCAACTTTCTTTTCAGATGAGAAAGCGGACTATAACATTTCAGTTTCCCGGGGGCTGGAGAGATGGCTCAGAGGTTAAGAGCACTGACTGCTCTTCCAGAGGTCTTGAGTTCAATTCCCAGCAACCACATGGTGGCTGACAACCATCTACAATTCAGTTTGGTGTATATGTAATAAATAAAAAAAATCTTAAAAAAAAAACAAAAAAACATTTCAGTTTCCCAGTGTTCTGGGAGGTGGGGGGAGTTAAGCTAACTAGTAACAATATTCTACTAACTAGTAGCAAGTGCTTAGAGATTTCCTACTCGTTTTACCATATTAGTGTGTTTTGGGTTTTTTCCTTCAGATTTTTATGTGCGTGAGTATTTGCCTGCATATGTGTCTGTGCACTGTGTGTGTATCTGGTGTCCACAGAGTTCAGAAAAAGGTGTTGGATCTCCTGAAACTGAAGCTAAGGGTAGTTATGAGCCATCACATGGGAGCTAGGAACTGACCCTTGGTTCTCTGCAAGAGCAGCAAGTGTTCTCAACAACTCACCCATCACTTCAGTTCCATATTGATATTTTTGTTAGTTTTTCTGAAAGCCAGGGGATGCTTTAGAAATACATTGAAAAGGTACCCTGCTTTGGTGGTGCAGTAAAGAGAACTATCCCTTTCTGTGACACTTTCCTTTGAGACAGGGTCCCACTAAGTAGCTCTGGATAGACCTCAATATGTAGACCAGGTTAGCCTTGAACTCACAGAGATCTCCTATGCTGGGACTAAGGGCATGTGCCACCATACTTGGCCTCTGTGAGACTTTCTGAAAGTCACATGTCAAAAGAACGAAGGGCCCCCACATTCCTCCTCATCCTAAGACTTAGCTGCTTTATGCTGATGTTAAGATCTCTCTGAGCCACGTGGAATCTAAATCACTGGGATTCCCCCAACATCTCCAGACCCAAGATCAGTGGACAAAGTGACCTGATAAAGCTTGAAGTGAAAACACCCAAGTCAACAGAGTCAGGCCACCACAGGAGCAGATAATGACTAATGTTAACACACCCTGCCTTCAGATATGGGTATGAAAGGTACTCAATTAAGAGCTGGAATCCTAGAATTTAGACACCTAAGCAACTTTTGCTTTCACTGGCATTCAGCAGCCGGGGAGGGGAGGATTGGCTCTACAAAGATGCTGGCTCATAGAGACCAATGCCCCAGGGGTGCCTGGTTCGTTGGGGAGACCTGTGGGTTGGCTTAGCTTGTCTTTTTTGCTCTGGGGTTTGGCTTCCTATGGCTGGACTGTCTGCTTCCTCAGCCTGACCACTTTGAGCAGGCTTCGGTACACAGCTTGAATCTCAGGGTCTGAAGGATTTCTAAGATCCTTCCAGACGGAGGTAAACCCTGTCTCCCAAGACGTCTCGAAGCTCTTGGCTGTGAGCCTCTGACAGCTCTCCTATTCCAGTGTGTCATGATGTTATCCTAGTGTGTGGTAACTGTTGTTTCCTGAATCCCCCACTGGAGAGATTCCTTGGGGTTCAGAGTGTTACTCTCAGCTTCAAACCATGTGCTTAATACTGCATGAAGGGACTGGCAATGGAAGCTGATACAATCAATAAGGACAAATATATAGACTCATGAGTGTGAGAACGAGCCCACAGACCAGGGGCTGGAGACACAGGAGTCTAGACGATGGAATTCCTCTACCTTACCTATCAGGATCACTGGTCTGACTCCTGAGTTACTCAGCAGGTTTTCAGGAACAATCACCGTTTCCCCTGCAGGGACAGGCCGAGGCTGGAGAATTCCAGTTAAGGGGGTCTGTGGAACTGGGGTAGATAAGAGGGGCTCTGGAAAGAAAAAAAGTTGTTAGACAAGAAAGATTAGACATGGGCTAACTGAAAAACTTCAGGAAAACTGCAGTTTTCATACTTTAGAAGTCTAATAGTTTACTGTGTGTGGTTTCTTTTTCATTAATATATGCATTGAAGAAAACTAGAAGAAAAACAGAGGTAAGAATCAAATCAACCACAATCATTTCACTGTGGATAATGACCACTGATGATCTGGTGGCATCTTCTAAGCCATCTTATGGACTTAGCTTTGTGTTTCATAGTTACCATGCCCTAGTAACCAAAATGTGGTTTTCTATTACATAAAATGGAAAACAGAAACACCATTAATCATTTCTACCTGGAATCACCTGTGATAAATATAGTCATAGTTCTTTGCATATATTAGATTTCTATCAGTCTTTAAAACTAAGCAAATTAAAAATTTTAAAGACCCCCTACGTAGTTCTTGGGGGTTGGGACACTTGTTATTGTCTACCTAGTAGAACAGGTAGACAAATGTTTGAACACTTAGCTGTGGATACCTTTGGACACAGTTCTGGGTAGCATGAAGGAGGGCCAGGTAACTTTTAATAGTGTAGTTGCAGACTCAACCATGAAAGCCAAAGTACCAAGACGTATCACACAGAGAACAAATCTAGAAGGTCAACTCTAAGACCATTGCTGACAAAGCAAGTACGTATGTGCCCTGTACTGGTTGAGTTGTTAGCATCAGGCCTTGTGCAACAAATAACTTATCAATTACATGGTTAAAACTAAGATCAGTTGTAATAGCACATGAACTTATAGGGAAGGACTATGTTATAGAGACAAAATATTAACTACTATCAGTACCCTTACAGAATACTACTAATCACAATGACTGATTGACGGCATTTATCTTCAAAGGATACGGGTAGCAGCAGAACTATCTCAGCTAATTAAAGAAAAACTTTGAAATACATCTTCAGTTAAAATCTCACCAGTTCTTGAAAGAGGACGGACTGTGGGAACAGGCACAACTAGAGAAGATTGGGAGACAGGTGACCCAGGATACCATCCCCGGTGTCGTTTCTTAGGTGGGCCAGAAATGAACATGTTAGCTGAAAACAAAAAGGGAAAGCAGCTTTGTCCGCGTCAGTGGGGAGAGAGAAATAATACCAAGGGATCAATGGCATTTCCTTTGTCTGAGTCACTGTCCTATGGGCAATGATGGAGTTGGGAAAAGTCACACTCACAATCCAACACCACACTAACAATTGTAACCCCATGCTGTTTTACACTTTACAGTTTTAAACAGATTATATCATTTGATTCCATTGACATCTCTGTTAAATTGTGGGACAATTCTTGGTCATGCTCAGATAGAGTTCTGTACTTTGGTAAGTAAAAGACAGATATGAGTTTTCAGGGTTCTTCACTGTAATTTTGATTAAACACTTATTTCCCAGTTAGGTTTATTCATGTAGAATCCCCAAGACATTTAACAGTTACTGTTCACATCAACCATAAAATTTCAAAATGTTGTGTTTCAAGCAAAGGCAAGGCTCTACAGTGTGTGTTCAGAAAATTGTTCAAAATTAATCCCGGGTTAAGGGGATGGTTCAGTTGGTGAAAGTGCCACACAAACATGAGGGCCTGAGGACAGTCTTCAGAATTCATGTAAAAAAGCCAGGCACAGAGGCATATGCCTTTAAAATCAATGCCGTGCAAACAAGAGGATCCTAGGATCACTGATCAGCCAGTCTACTCCATCTGTGGACTCTGGGTTCGGTGAGAGACCCTGTCTCAAAGGACAATGTGGAGAGCTATAGGGGAAGACAACTAATGTGGACTTTTGGCTCCTCCCATATGTACAAATGCGCATAGCTCCTCTCTCTCTCCTCTGTCTCTCTTTCTCTCTGTCTCTGTCTGTCTGTCTGTCTGTCTGTCTGTCTGTCTGTCTGTCTGTCTGTCTCTCTCACACACACACACACACACTGTACCTTGGTCTATGGATGTGTAGCTAGGTCTTGGTGACAAAGAGTAGTTCCCTGGGCGGGATGGAGTGGAACTGGAGGTGCCACTCTTTCCTCCATGGCTACTGGTCCCATTTGCTGCTTCTGTAGAACAGAGGTTTGGAGTGTACTGTTAGTGAAGCACTAGACATCTGGTAAACCTCATGCTTGAGGATTCAGGGAAACTTCACAGACAGGACTTAACCCAGTTGCATAAAACCAACTATAACTATCAGAGCAGTTACCTTCAGGCATGTCAATGACTAGAATACATTTAAAAAGTAGATGTACCCACAAATCATTTCCTGGGACCCTGAGAAATCGTTTAGATTTAGTGCACACTCTTAACCACTGAGCCATCTCTCCAGCCATTTTAGGTTTCCTTTAATCTACAGTAATTTATTTTTTTTGTTTTTTTTTTTGTTTTTGTTTGTTTTTTCGAGACAGGGTTTCTCTGTGTTGTTTCGGAGGCTATCGGTCCAGCCCGGCCTCGAACTCACAGAGATCCGCCTGCCTCTGCCTCCCGAGTGCTGGGATTAAAGGCGTGCGCCACCACCGCCCGGCCAGTAATTTATTTTTTAAAAATGTTTCTTATGATTATTTTTCTTTTGAAAAATCTTGAAGAATTTGCTGGTTCAATGTTTCTAGTATCAATCAACATCCCTGTGTCCACTGTATTTTTAATAAACTAATTGTTAGAGGCCTGGTCAAATTCATATTCCATTTTTTTTTGCAAAAGTACCTCAAAGACAGCTGTAAATGTCCACTAGGAGGCAAAAAGTGGACAGTTTTCTCTCTCCTGAGGATATTAGGAATGATTAGTGGGGATTCAGAATTTGTCAGCCTGTTTTTCTTTTTAAAATTTCATTTTTAGGGTCCATGTGCAGTGGCACTTGCCTTTAATCCCAGCACTCAGGAGGCAAAGACAGGTGAATCACTGTGAGTTTGAGGCCACCCTGGTCTACAAATCGAGTTCTAGGACAACCAGGACTGTTACACAGAAGAACCCTGTCTTTTAAAAAAAGTGAATAAATGAATTTTCAGTTTCAATTAAGTGTATGCATGTGTGTTTACATGTGTGTTTATATGTGGTTACATGTGGGTTTGTGCATATGCATGTGTAGCCACAGTCTAGAAGAAGCCATCAGATGCCCTGGCCCTGGAGTTACAGGCAGTTGTGAGCAGACTGAGGTAGGTACTGGGAACCAAACTCCCATCCTTTGCCAGAAGCAGCACATATTCTTTTTGCTTGTTTGGTTTAGTTTGGTTTTTTTGAGACAGAGTTTCTCTGTGTAGTCCTGATTGTCTTGAAACTAGCTCTGTAGACCAGACAGGCTGCGAATGCACCAGAAATCTGCCTGCCTCTGCCTCCGAGTGCTGGGATTAAAGATGTGTGCCACCATTGCCTGGCTAGCAGCATGCATCCTTAACTACTGAGCATAAATCTTGCATTATGAAGTCACCTGGATGATTTTAGTAACAGCTTTGGTTAGTAATCTATTACTTCATTAGTTTTTTCATCATTGTGAAAACTTGCCTTTAGTTTGTTCATATTTAAAATCTAACTAGGAGATAAGTAGCTGGGTTAGATAAAAAAACAAGATGGGTTTTATAAACTGTGATGTCTAACTTTTCGATCATGTCCCAAAACGATAGGCTTTCTGTCTTAACTTTTCTTAAGCACTGAACTTTCCTAGGATTCCACCCTTCATTCATAGCCTGCCTCATCATATATCTTTCATGACAAATGTTAACCTTGATGGCTTTAGACATTTTGGTAGCTCCCCTCTATCCATCCATCAATAAATGAGTGATGGACAGCTCCACTTATTGGGACTCCACATGTCCATGTGATCGCCTCTGGGAGAGACTGTTCCCCCTTCCACAGTCCCTGTCTCAGGTAATGGCATCATTAGAACAGAAAGATGAATGTTGGCTGAGGTACTTTCTCCTTCAGGCACACATTAATCTGCCAGGTCCATGTGATTTCATTTCCTGAGTAGCTCTCCATTTTTTTTTTCCGAGAGAGGGTTTCTCTGTGGCTTTGGAGGCTGTCCTGGAACTCGCTCTGTAGACCAGGCTGGTGTCGAACTCACAGGGATCTGCCTGCCTCTGCCTCCCGAGTGCTGGGATTAAGGTGTGAGTCACCGCTGCCCAGCTCTCCATTTTGTTAACACTCTGGCTAAGTACCTCAGCACCTCTCACGTAAACTAATGACATGACCTCAAAGAAGTATTTCTTCCTCTTGTCTCTTGTCTGGTTCAAATTCAAACCAGAATAGGTCAGTTCTCTGCTCCTCAAATTCATGGTAAAATCCATGTTTCTCAGCCTGCCTTCCTGTGACTGCCTCCTGCCACTTGGAGTTATACATTTTATATTTCAAGCCCAAAATGTAAGAAAGCTCTTACACATCTTATAATTGTTCCTTCTCCCAGGACCCCTTCTCTTGTTTGGTTTTTATTTATTTGTTCGTTTATTTTTCAAGACAGAGTTTCTCTGTAGAGCCCTGTGACTGCCTCCTGAGTGCTGGGATTAGAGGTGAGTGCTACCACACCAGCTCCTGGCTTCTTGTTGTCACTCATTTCTGCTCTTATTGGAATATGAACTATCTTCCCCCATCCCTTTGGACAGAATCTACCTCTTCACTCTTAAGACCGATCTTCTCCCAGTTAGTCCTGAAATGCTGGCTACAGCACTTCAAAAAGATCTTGTAAGCCTGTCACCTTCACTGGATTTGAGACATCTGGGGTCAGGCATTATTTGTTTTTATAACCTCAGGTGCTAGTCACAGCAGGAGAGCATGAAATGTTTGTTGAGCAGAATCAAACTCTAGCCCTGTGTGCACTAAATGCCATTTTGACTTTTCTGTTTGGAACACAGACAGAGCCAAGCTTTGTTCGTTATTGCATTATTTTAGGCAATTTCATGGCCCTCTTAGACTGCCAGGTAGAAGGGGCGTCTGTTTTCAAACACTAATTTGTCAATTAAATCTCACACAAGTCATTTGGTATATGTAAAAAAAAAAAGGAAGGAGGGAAGGAAGGAAAGAAGGAAGGAAAACATCACCTGAAACAAAAGTCTTTCCTACAACCTGCAAAGATAAAGGCAGTGGTTTCACAACATTCTTATTCCAGGTCAGGTCCTGAGCGCCACTTAAATTGATTGAAGAATTAGCTGGACTGAGAGTCGGCGAATCTTGAAAATGAGAGAGGTTGTTTAAATTAGGAAGCATTTATATATGCAGGAAGAAAGTTACTATGGCAGGGGTGAGCTGAGGAAAAGCAGGAAGGATGGTTTAGCTTCTTCCTGGATCTATTCAGATGCTTTAGAAAGGTCATTGTGTATGCGTTCAGGTCAATTAGTTTTTATTTAACAAACATGTACTAGGTGTTAGGTGCTACTGTAGGTACTTCAAGTATATTAATTCACTTGATCCATGTAATACTTTAGTACTTTATGTCGTGGTAGTTGGTCAAAGTCAGACGACCTGTCATTGGGGCATCTATGCTCCGTATCCAAATTATGTCCACAGTTCCTTCAAAGATGAGCTATATCTATCTCTGTACAGATAAATGTCGTGTGTTTGTACATGCTTGTGTTTATATGCAGTCATATGTGTATGAATACATATGTGCAGAAGTATGTGTATGTGATCATGTTTGTACATATGTGTGGAGATCAGAAGTCATGTCAGGCATCTACTTCAATTGCTTTCCACTCTAGTTTTTGAGACATGGTTTCACTGACTCTGGAGCTCATCGATTTGGTAAAGCCGGCTAGGTAGTAGATCCTCCCATCTGTCATTTCCCAACACTGAATTTACAAGCGTTGTGATGCTTGTTTGTATCCAAGCATGTGCCAGGATGACACACAAGAGTTACAAGTTCAAGGTCAGCCTGGGATAGAAGATAACTCAAAAAATAAAAATGGTGGGCTTTCCTAACGCCTGGCTTTCATACTGTCGGAGGTGCTAAGCTGGCGGCTGAGGGAGTGCAATAGCAACATGAATGCTATGGGAATATTGTCTGCTTTCTGAGTAGATTTAAGGCCACTCCATAGGAAGGAATTGCATGGTACTGCAAATCTGACAAAGATCCATGGCTAGGGAGCTCATAGGCCCTAACTGTGAACCTATTATTATTTATTTTGGTAAGTGGAGATAGAATCAAACCGCTCTCTACACTTGTATCTTTCTGCTCATAGACCAGTCCGTATCAGAGAACCCTCTTTGTGCAGTGGATTGCGGTTAACACAGAAACTCACAACGTCGGTCAACAATGGGACGACTATGCCCCATGCCTCTCCTCGAGGCCCAGGGACTATCATGGAAGAAGGGATGGAAAGACAATAGTGCCAGAGGCTGGGCAGGCCTGGGTGATGATGAGGGCTGCCTTCTAGGGTTGCAGGACTCTTGAACTCACAGCAGCTGTAGCCACAAAGACCTGCTTAAGAACACCACGTATGGGGAGGGGCTCCATGAGCTCCCACTCTAACTGAGGAACTATGGGTAATTGATGGCTGCTAGCAGAGGGAAAGTCAGTTTTCTTTAAGGGTGTGGTCATTGGAACATTTACCATACTATGGAGGATAGCCATGAGCATATGGGCAGAGCAAATTGGATTTAGTGGGTTATTAAGAAAAAAATAAAAAATAAAAAGAGGATATGAAGTTGGGAGTAGCCAGTGGGGTAAGGGGAAGAGTGGAGGATGAAAACGATCAAAATGAATTGCATGTATATACTAAATTCTCAAATAATTAATTAATATGGTATTTTAAAAGGGTGTGGGAGCAGGGGGATGGCTCAGCAGATAAAGTAGACAATGACAGCCATGAAGACCTGGGTTCATGGGCTCAGATCTCTAGTACCCATGTAAAAAGCTTAGCTTGTTGGCATGCATACAATAGAATGCAGTAAATTGTTATAAAGTATGTAATATCTGAATTGGTTGATTGTATTTAATATGATCATTCAGTATTAAATTATTTATAAAAATATTAAAATTATAATTATGAATAAACAGTACAAGAGAAGTAAAAACTTACACTATGAATTGTTAAAGGAAACTAAGTAGTTGGTGGCCCACACATTTAATCCCAGCACTCGGGAGGCAGAGGCAATTGGATCTCTGTGAGTTCAAGGCCAGCCTGGTCTACATTGTGAGTTCCAGGATAGCCAGGGTTACACAGAAAAAACATCTCAAACAAACAAACAAACAAACAAACAACCCAAAACCCAAAACTAGTAAATGGAAAGATATCATGTGCTCTGGAACCAGAAGACTTAGTAATGATGAGATGGTACTATTGCCCAAGTGTTCTTTTTTTTTTTTTTTTCGTTTTTATGAGACAGGGTTTCTCTGTATTGTTTTGGAGGCTGTCGGTCCAGCCTGGCCTCGAACTCACAGAGATCCGCCTGCCTCTGCCTCCTGAGTGCTGGGATTAAAGGCGTGCGCCACCACCACCCGACTTTTGCCCAAGTGTTCTTAAGATTTCCTTCAAGCCGAACCAAATATTCTAATCTGGGACACAGGGGACTCAAGGAAATCATAATAATTTATAAAAAAAATAGCAAAGCTAGAGAACGTACTTTTCCCATGTCAGAACCTCATATAACATTATACATGTGGTATTGGTACAGGATACACACAGATAAGAAAATCCCATTTAAAGTCTTCACATAAACTCTTTGATCTTATGACCAAATGACTGTTGACAAGAGTGTTAGGAAAAGTCATCGGGTAAGAAAACATTTTTTTCAGCCATTAGTTTGGGGACACCCGTATAGCCCTATACAATAGTCCTCAATTGCCACACCACACACAAAAATTAACCTAAAGTGTATTTGAATGTAATAGCTAGTATCTCTGTGGGTTCCAGGCCTACTAGGGTGACATAGTGGGATCCTGTTTCTAAACATATATAAAAGCTACATGTAATAGCTAAAGCTATAACACTCTTAGAAAACATAGAAGCGATGCTCATGACCTTGAATTAGGCAACAGTTTCTTAGGTATGAACCAAGACCATACGTGACAAAAGAAAACATAAATGAGTTGGATTTCATCAAAACAGAAAAAAAAAAACCTTTGTGCTTCAAAGGATGTAATCATGAGTGAGAGATCTGTGTGTCCTAGTGCAAACCTTTAGTCTCGGTACTCTGGAGTAGAGGGAGAGGGGGAGTGGAGAGGAAGTGGGGAGTGGGGAGTGGGAGAGGGAAAGGGAGGGGTGAGGGGTGAGGGAGAGGGAGAGGGAGAGGGAGAATGGGAGAAAACCTTTGCAAAAAGATTTATGCTCCAAATATATAAAGTCCTCATAAATCTATAAAAACATAAACAGCCAGCTAAAAAGTGGCCAAATGAATTATATAAACATTTCTTAAAACACATATACAGTCAATAAACATATGAAAAACTGCTAAGCTGGGTGGTGGCGGTGCACACCTTTAATCCCAGCACTTGGAAGGCAGAGGCAGGTGGATCTTTGAGTTACAGGCCAGACAGGTCTACAGAGTGAGTTTAGGACAACCAGGGCCACACAGAGAAACCCTGTCTCGGGGAGGAAAAGAAAAGAAATAGAGAAAGAAAGAAAGAGACCTTCTAAACATAATTAGAAACTAGAGGCATACAAATCAAAGTTACAATGAGATACTACTTCATCCAAAAACACTGTGATAAAAGGAGAAGGAAAAAGAATTGGCAAGGACCTGGAAACACTGGACCCCTTGGTCATTGCTATCATAGTACAAAGTGGGACAGCCTTGTTAGCAAATGGTTCCTCCATTCTGCAGCACTAATGTAGGACACAGAACTCTCCCGGGCATGAAATGAAAGAAAGTGAAAACCATGACTATACAAAGAGACTGTCCACAAATGTTCACAGAAGAATTCCCTTCATTTTATTGGTTGATTGATTGTTGACTGGGGATTGAACATGCTGCACATAAAGTCCTCCAGTGAGCCCCACTGCTATTCCTATGAGACTCCACATTAAAGTAAATGCCCACTAACTGATAAATGGATGAACACATTTCAGTTTGTTTAGACAACAGAATACTATTCATCAGGGAAGGGGTGCATCGCCGGTATATGTTACAAATGAAAGAAGCCAGTTGGTAAATGTCAATACAATACCCAGCGTAGAGAATCAGCAGAAACATAAGGCAGACTTGGAGCTGCTTGTGGGTGAAGCGGGGTTAAGTAAGGACTGTGAGGGTTCTCCTCAGGGTGCTGACACACTCTACTGGACACGGTGGTGCACTGAGGCAGGAGGATTAAAAGTTTCAGACAAGCCTGAGCTTTATGTGAGATCAAGTACCAGTAACTCACTACATCCATTGGCTTGCAAACTTGTAATGGCTGTAAGTAAAATTATAAGGCAAATGAAACCCAAGTAAGTGACTGCCCAGTCAATAGAATCCAGAAAGAAAATGGCTACTGCTTGTTGCCCTGAATCTCACTGGTTCACCGTTAATGTCAGCGGGGCTCCAATGGGCAGTGCCCTGTGAACTCACTCTCTTGGGGAAAGACTCCTACAAGTTCACACATGGCTTTTCCAGCTTTTTGTCTCTGAGCCTTCTCCAAGGCCTTCAAGATCCCTGAACCCTGTAAACATGATGGAGTATAATGCTTCAGAAGCAGCCCTCAGATAGTAACTGCCTCAGGGAACAGAAGCCTCCCCTCCTTAGGAGGTCATTCTGGAAGGCCTTCTGCATGCTTCTCAGTGAATCTGCAAGACTCAGACTTCCCTGGGTTATGACAATCACATAGAAAAACACTCTCACACGCTGGCTTACTCCTGCTTCCAGGGGTCACTTCCCAAATAAAATACAATACTCAAGTTCTTATCTTAGGCTCTGATTCTATTGGGATCCAAACCACAGCAACAATTTAAAAAAAAGGCAACAGTATACAAGTAGAGTTCATAGAAAAGTTAAATAGTTTAAGAAATTCAATGTTGATCATAAGGGAAATGTTAAGTCAAAGCCACACTCAGATATCATTGTTCCCTATCAGAGTGGCACAAAAAAACTAAAGGTTTCCATAATAAATCCTGATGCCCTGGAGACTGGATCTGTGGAAATTTTGGATGAGTACATATTTAGCCCAGGAATTTCTGGACATCGATACACAAAAAAGAAATGACATGTGTTGACGTTATTCATTGCTGAATCATCAGGAAACAATGTAAACACCCTG